CTAACTGGAATGGAGACAACCCTAGGGTTACCATGCTAGAAGCTGAGTCCCTGGCCACGCTGTTGACCTGTTAACCTGCCCAGTACTGTTATGTGAACAAGAAATAAGCTTCTACTTAATTTAGGTGGTTATACATTTAGGATCTATTTGTTTTAGCAATTTGCTCACCCTAATTCAGAAATGAGAACCTTTAAATGAAGTGCTGACTAGCAAAAACCTAAAAATATGGAGCAGGGGCTTAGCCATAGTGGATGGCGAAAAAATAGATACCACGGGCTGGAAAAACAGAGCCCATGATATGCAACAGCATACATTTGGAAGAATAATAGTAGACTATCCATCTAATCAAGGGATCTTGAATTTCTATTAAAAAAAGCAAGGGAATAATGATAAATATAAAAATAAAAAGGTGATGATGAAGAAGGATGTGATTAAGCAAAGACTTATAAGGAATATTCTGTTTCATAATCTGAGCAGTGAGTAATGGGTGTTTATTTTATTTTTTCTTAAAAATCTACATATATGTTTTATACATACTTCTGTATCTACGATAAATTTTGCTAATATATATATACTACATATATATTATATATACTACATATATATTATATATAGTACATATATGTATATATTTTTTAGGCGAGGCAACCCTTGGTTGACCTCACAGATTGTAAGGACCTTGTCAGCTTACAATCCCTTATTTTTTATTTTTTACATCTACAGCACCTGGTCTTCCTAGGTGGTCTCCCATCAAAGTACTAACCAGGCCCAACTCTGCTTAGCTTCCAAGATCACACGAGATTGGGCTTGTTCAGGGTAGCATGGCCATAGACAAATTTTGCTATTTTAAAAAGTAAAAACATATCAATCAATACCAAGTAGATTTTATTCCAGACATGCAAAAATATCACATTAATGAACTAAAAGTGAAAATTATGTATTTTTGGAGAAACAGCATATTATAAAGTTTAATACTCTTTTCTAATTTCAAAAAAATCTTTTAGAAAATTAGTTATAGAAAGGAATATCATCAAATGTTAAAGACCATTCTCTTGTTGAGAAATTACAGATGCCCTCCTGTTAAGGTCAAGAATATGATAAAGAAACCCAATATCATCACTTATTAACATGGTATTAGAGGTACTAGCTGATACCATAAGAAATGAAGAAAATATGCATAATAAGAGGGAGAAAAGAAAAAAAGTGTCATTATTTGAGATGATATGATCACCTAAATAGAAAGGCAAGTGTAATCAAAAGATGAATGATTAGAATTAATAAGAGAGTCCAGGAGGGTTGTTGGGTATAAGATAAAATTATAAAAATGAACAATGTTTCTCCACACCAGAAATAACCAAGTAGAAAATGTAACAAAAATTTAGACATCTTTCGCAATAGCTACAAAGGATACATAAGATTTTTCCAGAGAAAATGTTTAGACTCTACTTAAGATGCATAATAGGAGATCAGAATAAATGAAGAGTCTTACTATGTTGATAACAGGATGATATAATAAAGATAGAAATTATTCCAAAAATTAATATATAATATATAATTTTAATATAGTCTCAGCCAAAATTGCAGCTGGATTTTTTTTACAAAAGTGACTCAAAAAATTCATTGTAAAATTTGTATGATAGAATAAAGCTTCTAAGAAGGACGTGTGTGTGTGTGTGTGTGTGTGTGTGTGCGTGTATATGTGTGTGTACTTTATATTGCAGAAACAAACACATCGATAGAATAAAGAGAGCTCAAAAATAAACCTATGTTAATGACATCAGCAAGATGGTGGAATAGGAAGTCCTAGCCCCTGTCCCTAACAGAAACACTGATTTAACAATGATATATAGAGCAAAATACCTTTAAGAGAAGTCTATAGTCCAGTTAAGAAGTTACAGTACCCCAGGGAAGCAGAAAACTGAAACCAGCCACATTAAAATAGTGGACATGGCAGAAAAACTCAGAAAAAGATCAATATGCCCCATCTCCCTAAACTATTCCCAAGATCCCTGTTTGATATTCTGCAAACATTACTTTTGCTTCACCCTCCTCAGGCATCTGGAGAGGGAAAATCAAGACACTTTCCCCAGTGTCTTGACATCTTTGGATCCAAAGAATCCAGACTAGTGTGGCCCTACGAATACTAGTGGCTGAGATCTAAGTGATGATGTCTGTGATGAGCATGTGCTGCTGGTTGCTGAGATTCCATGTAAATATGACTCTGATCCAACCACAGACAATGACTTCCTCACATTCTCTTAATGACCTGCAGAGCATTGGATATGGGTCCAAACCAGACCACTAGGGAATGCCAAAACATTCATCTCTGCTGCTTGTGTCCTGGGGTCCTCCTGCTTCATCTCTGGCAGGTGGAAACTAGAGGAACACTTGAGTGGGCTTTGGATGTTTGCAGGGAATCTACATATTGTGAACAACCTTTCCCGGTATCTTCAGATCTGGGTTTCCAGATTGTGAACCTTAAGGAGGACATGAAGTCATGTTAGCACAGAAGCTGAAACTGTTGACCATGTGAACCTAAACTTGCAGAGGTGGAGATTTTTCTAGACTGTGACCTGAAGGCCATTTCATTTTTCAATGCCACTAGTAGTTTCCATTTATGCACCTTCACTAATATATCTACCTTAGAGCCTCTGTGTCCACTCTTTGTCCTGAGATTCCAAGAAAGGGTGAGAATGTTGAACCCATGAAGATCTGTCACAAAGGAGCTACAGATGTTGCAGTTTGGCCACAGTCTTCCCAAGACATGTGATCTCTGTGCAGAAAGAAGAGCATCTGGAATGAAACTGCTGGATCATATGCTCTCAAGTTCTTCCAATGTTACCAGGAGTTTATATGGTTGAGAAAACCATCCATTTTGTTTTATTATAAAGGGAGTCTTAGGATAAGAATTGCAAAAATAAATTATTGATTTAATAATTTTAAAATCAATAAATTATTGATTTTAAAACCTGACTTAATTCTAAATACTGGGCTTTGCTCTGAATGAAGTTATACCAGTCCACAATTTAAGGGCAAGTTGTTTCTTCCTCTAGCATGTTTCCTGGGGGCCACCTCCAAGATGGAACCAAGAACTTATTTCTATAGAGTTCTATATAGCCTGGGTTGGATATTCACAGGCTCAATCCTTGAGGATTTGGGAAGAAGGTATCTTGTATATGAGCCACATAGAGAGGAGAATTAAAGGACTAGAGACAATCAAAGGAACAATGAGTGTCCAAGGATTAAGGCAAGAGATAGAAGGAAAGTCAAGGAAGTTTGATTTGTGGGCCTCCATCTGAGAATGACCTTTCATTGGCTGAAAGTTGATTCAAAGGGAACAACAATAAGACAAATTTTCACTCTTTAAAAATAAAATAAAATAATCTATGTTTACATAGTAACAAGGTATGATTTTTAAAATGGATCTACAAAGCTATGGAGAAATAAAGAATTGTTGGATAGATAGTATTTGGAACACTGTCCATATGAAAAAAATTAACAATAAAGTTCAAACATAGCATTTGTCATACACAAAATTAGACTTCAGAAGAATATATGCCTAAAAGTGAAAAGTAAACCTCTAAAGCAGATGGTCTTGATAACTTTGTGACCTAGGGTTGGGGAAAGACTTCTTAAATAAGACTCCCTAAAATACAAACAATAAGGTGAGAAACTGAGATACCTGTATCCATCAAAATTAAGCATGGTTAGTAAATATACTGGGAGATAACTGGGAGAAAATAGTTGTGACATTTAAAACCAACAAGGAATTTGTATTAGAATATGCAAAGAATTCAAAATGAACAGGGCCAGAAAACCAGAGCTTACTGCTCTGTCTTCCTCATTAGAACACGAACTCTTTGAGGCCAGAGATGGGATCTTATTCAGTTCTCAGTGCCATGAGACATTTTAAGGCACACGAGTCTACTGTTTTAGACAGCACAATATAGAACATGTCCATTATCACAGGAAGTTCTATTGGACAGCATTGATTTAAATAGGACAGGGCTCTGTATTTTACACTCCTGAAGTATCTTGTACTTTGCTTTCAGCACTTATCAAAGTTAATAATGAATTAATGTCTGTCTTGCCTACCAAACTGTAGGCCACAGGAAGACAAGAACTGTGTCCATTTTGCTTACCCATGTATGCCCAGTGCCTAATACAGTACATGACAAATAATGAACACTAAATAGATATTTGTCAAATGACAAATGAAGTTATATTCTAAAATATATGAAAATTCTATTCCTTGAAATTTGGGGTCCAGACTAGAAATATGAGCAGTGTTTGTGTATAGGCAAATGTTTTTGCATTCAAATTTCAGACCTCTTTCTGCCTTTCCTTGCTGAGCATTTTATTTCCTTTCCTGAAATGAAGAGGACAATAGCATCTAGCTACTATGAGATTTGGCAACCTAGTACTTTGGTAATACTAAAAGGATGATGTTCAAAATATCAGAATGTGAAACACATGATTAAAAAACATCTTGATGATGGATGTTCGCTGAACCTATTGCGATAATCATTTCACAAGGGATGTAAATTATTCCATCTGACTGTATGCCTTAAACTTACAAAGTGATGTATGTCAGTTATTTCTCAATAAAACTGGAATAAAAACATTTTGCATTATTTTTCCTAGCCACGATCAATTTAAACCTATTGGTGTTACTCATTACCAAAAAGACAATCTTATAACAGGTAAGAAATACTTAACTTCATTTATTTAGAATGATGATCATTAAATTTTTATTTTGCATTGTAAGATGAGAAGTTAAAAAGTGCCATTTTATTCTTTTATAAATTATGTAACAACATACTTTAAAAAGAATAAACAATAGAAATAGAATAATTAACAGAGCTCTTAAATGAATAAAAGTAGAATCAAAATAATCAATTAAAATTATAGCTAGCGTGCCTAGCAATTGATTACATGTAAAGTGTGGTGATACTAGAAATATTGGCACTTGGTGATCATAATAGAGCTTGAAAATATTAGCAGCATGTAATATTGTTGCCCTATGATGTCTAGAGCAGTGCTCTGATAGATCTGTTTTCATTGGGATTTAGCTTTAGTTAATACATCCACATCAGCTTTGTCTGCTTCTCCGAGATTTTTTTGATGGTTCTCAACCAGGACATTGTCTTCCTTTTTTCGGGGCCTCTGGGAACCCGAATCTCTGTGAGCGATAGAAGTTCCAAGAGCAACAAAATTGTGCACATCCTGCAGCTTCTTCCTCAGCCATTCCACCCTTTCCATTGAGTTCAGATGTTTACGCAGGTTATGCATAAGCTGTATTTCACTCACAGATCTCTTTCTGTAGAAAACAGAAACAGAGAGGACCACTCCTTTAGCTCCCCTCTTCCAATCATAAAGCCAACCCTAGAAATCCAATTCCCATCCTCTCACCATGCAGAAAATGCTACAGTACTTACTTAATAAGTTTCCCATCTGATTTTGCAAAAAAACATATTGCAAGCATGACAATCATTACTTTAACCATTTCTTTTGCAGACATCTTCACTAAAAAGGAAAAGCAAAATGCAGGTATTTAAAAATATTTTTAATATTCCAAACTATATAATTAAATTTAGTCGTTTACATTTATAACTATAAAACTGTGCACAGAGTGTTACAGTAACTAACTGGATTGGTTTTCATGGGAGACTTTTGGAATCAGCCTTTTTATTTTACAGATATATTAGAATATATTATGTATATACATAATTTGGCTGGAAATTAGACAGATTAGTTTTACTTAGATATTTTTTTGAGAGTTCTTGTGCAAGTTTTAATATATGAATTTTAAGCCACATAAGGAATGAAAAAGCTTACTTTTTAGAATTTCCTCACGTATTTTATGTTTGTTCTGGCTAAAAGCTTATAATTTGCTTGAAATGGCTACTTTACCTCTTAGGTAAATTATTAACACTGTTTATTTACTTAGCAGATTCCTTTTTCATAAGTCAACTTCATTTCAGGCACTGCAATAATAACTGTAAATACCAAATTAATAGGCTCTGATTTAGAGATTTTTACTGAATTAACACATATTTCTACTGTTAAAAAAATTGGTCAAAGTTTTAAAAATTCATCTAATGACTTCTTATGTGGATTTAGAGCTTTGGCCTCATATAAAATGTTTGTCTATATTATTTCTTGAGCTTATTTTATTAATGATCTTGTATGAATATAATTTTTATCACTTTTCTCTTTTGCTCATAAAGTTTTTCATCTCAGAATGGTCTTACCTTAATCTGCACTTCAATCCTTGCAAAGCCTATTATTATAAAGTGTTTTTCTTAATGTTTAATGTTCTCTGTTTTAATATACATATAGAGTGGTTATGAATTCATATTTTAAGGGGAAATGGCATCACTTAGAAATTGCATAAGAAACATTATCATCTATATTTATTTTCACTGTGTAATATAAAGCTATTGACAGTGACAAATGTGTATTCTTCAATTTTGGTTTACATTTAAAAAAGGCACTGTAGCTAGAGGACAGGAGCAGTGGTGTCTAATCCTAACTTTGTCACATTCACCTGGTGACTTCAGACATCTCTGCTTTGCTTCCTTGTTCTTATTCTTAATAGAGATGAGTTTCTTACAAGAATGTCATGAAAAAGCTGAAAAACAGTTCTAAAACACCCTTAAAATTCATGTACAGTTTTTAGAATAGAAAATTAGAAAAGCCTTTATGTAAAGGGAATAAATATTCAGCAGTAAAACTGAGGCTCTCCAACTGTGATATACAGATTGAGCCCTCTATAGGTCAAAACAAAAAAACAAATGAGGATATTCTGCATGAAAAATGGAATTTTAATTTAACTTAATAAATTTATATTGGTTATTTAAGTCAAAATTATTCATTCCTCATTAGGCTGTTTTATTTCAAAATTTCAATGATACCTTTAAAGCATATCATGCCAAATTTTAATTATTTTTTGTGTAATTTCAGATGAATTTAGAAAAAGCCAGGCATCTCAAAAGATTTTAATCACAAAAATAAATGATTTAAGAGTATTTTAGTAGCATACATTTTATTTTGTATTGCGGCATTTTATATTAAACATAATTCAAACCTTCCCTTAACATTTTACTTTGAAGAAACAACATGTTATTTTCAGAAAATGATACACATTAAATAATTGCTTGATGTAAAAAAATCTCATATAAAATGTAAAAGAGAAAGACTACTCACCACGCGATCTTCTATCAGGTGTGTTAGCAGCTGATGCTTTCTTAAAGTTGAGTGAATTTGAGAAAGCTGGCGAATTGGGCTGTAGACCCTTAACTGTGACTTTTATATACAGGCCTTCCACTCACCAAGAGAAGTTTTTTTTTTTGATGTTACAGATAATGTCACTCCCAATTCTCTGAACCATAACTACCGTATCAGAGCAACAAGCAGACACCCCCATCGGGCGGTGCCCCTCTTAAGTTTTAGGTAATTGGATATTAAAAAGAAAACAGTGTGGGGCTGAGAAAAGGATTTTGCAACGATTTCTAGCAAATAATAAATTGTAATTCTGACTGGATTAATGAATTTATTATAAAAAGACTAATTTCAAAGATTCATGGTAAGTCATCACTTTACTTGAAAGTAAAATCTGAAAATAAGTGTATTTGTTATAACCCTATTATTGATATAATTATTATGAGGATTATAATGAGTCATATTATGTTATTCTTACTTTACAAGCCATATTCCATTAATTCATATAATTCCTGGTCATTTTTGAAAAAAAAAGATATAGTGTTTTCCTTAAAGGAATTGTTAAAAATATTTTTAAGAAAATGCTCTTAGTATGTAATAAACTTTAAAGGCTTCAAAAGTGAAATTATTTAAGAATTTATTTAACTTACATTTTATTCATACATTTTAATTTGCAATAAAAACATTTGATAAGCACTAACTACATGCCAGACTTTATACATTATCCCACTAAATCTTCACAGCAATCCTGTAAATAAATACTATTACTAGCCCCATTTTCACATGAGGAAATTGAGGTTTGGAAAGTGAGGAAAATGAAATTCAATAAAGGTCTTTATGACTCCAGAGTCATTTTGATTCTTACCAGCTCAGATTTCCCCTAGAAATGTAGTCCTTCTATGAACTCCACTCTTTCTGACTTTAATTTCTCTGGCCCTTTGTAGCCTCTTTGCCCAGGGGTTGGATCTTGATTCCCATGTTTCTCAGTCGATGACTTGTTCCAAAACCTAATGGAGGCATAATGCTGCCATGTGTCTGAATTCAAATATGGCTACACCCTAGTTCCCATCTATCAGATCAAAACTCCTTGAATGCCCTTGGTATATCTAGGGTTCATTTAGGTGGCTTACCTCCCACCTAAGGTCGCAGAATTGGACCAGTTCTCTTAGCTCTGGTCCTAGCCAGGCTTCATATTATTCCCTTTCCTGCTAACCATTGTCAAGTTCTACGTCACGTAAGAGCCATTTCAAGTTTGAACAGTACCTGTACGGGGTCTAGAAGTGGAGATATGTGCTAGTCTTGCTCTGGGAATTTCTCTACACTGGGCAAATATTACTTGACGTACACATCCAGACTCCATTTTTGAAAGGTTAAGGACGAATTTCAACATGTCTATAGAGTATGAACTAGGTTGTTGAAAATGTTAGGAAACATGATATATGAGAAGCAGATGAATGACACTGGAAAAGAAAAGGTCTGGGATGACTATTTAGCTGTTTTTAATTCTTTACAGGGCTACCATAAGGAAGGAGGAATATTTTTGTGGTTTAAGAAGGAAGGACAGACTTCAATGATTAAAGATTACAAGTAGGCAGATTTGGGCTCAACTTGGATATTATAATTGTCGAAATAAGGAAACAAATACCATATAAGTAGTGAGTTCCTTATCACTGGAAGTGTTCAAGTAAAAGCTGGATGAGCATTTACCAGGGATATTAGAGAGATTCATACATAGCTGAGAGTTGAACCAGACAACCAAAAGGTCTCCTTTAACTGTAAACATCTATCGTTTTGATCTTTTTAAAGACTTCTTCTGATGCAGTCTACACATATTTGTATATCTTCTTTTTGTTATACTTACTCTGTTAAGAAGAAGAATTGAAAATGAAAATGATTTTATAAACACATTTTTCATTGTTATTATAAAGCCATGTTTAACATTTTAATTTGTAGATTTTCCTTACTTCTTTGGGTAAGTTGACATCATTGACAGCTTTCCAGGAGTGATGCAATTAGGGTATTCACTGTCTTCCTCCTATACAAGTATGTAAGAATAAACTGCCATGTTAAAGATAACCACAGTATTAAACTAGTTTTACGGAAAAATAAAACAAACAATTTAGACAATGTTCATTCATTAAAAAAATGCATTGAGTATCCACTATCTCTCAGGGGCTGTGTTAATCCCTAGATGATTAAGACATGATCTATGCCCTCGGATTTAACACACAATTGCAATATAAACTGATAGGTGTTATAATATGATTTGAACAAAGGCTTATAAAAGCACCGATGAGGAAGTCTCTGAATTTCCCTGGAGTTGTTGGAAGCTGTTTTACTGAAAAACTGAAATGTTCTCAAGCATGATTACGAGTTTTCCATCAGAGAAGGTGAAAAAGGACAGAGGGAACAGCATGTGCAAAGTCATCGAGGCAATAAAGACTGAATATGTGTTGGTGGAAGGAGAAGGGAAATAGTGATGACCTTAAAAAAGTAGGTTGTGTGCAAATTGCGGAAGGCTTTTGTGTGTGTCAAGGAGTTTTATCTTGTAGTTCTCTCTAAACCAATATATGCAGTAGTAATATTTTTGTATTCTTCAGAATTTTTAAAGGACTACTTAACCTTCCCACAAAGAAGAGATACAGCTGCCAAGATTTGGCACATGGTTTATCTGAGCCATCAGGTTATGAGACTGCATGAATAAGATAGAAAGAAACCATTTAAGGAATAAGAAGGCTAGGGGCTATGTGGGCACAAGAGGTTGATGTCACAGTGACAGAGAGAAGGGCTGAGCACAGCTTTTTGCTTTGAAAAGCTCAGCTTTTCTTAGCATTCTCAAGTATTCTGAAGCTAGGATCAGACAACCTACTGTATCCCTCACATTTGAGAAGGATAAAGGACCATGTATTATTTCCACTTGCATTAGGGGAGGTTTAATTTGAGACAGATACTTTTTCCTTCTATTTGTTCAGTAAAAATGAGTATGGGTTTGAGGACTTAGCATCAAGAAGAAACTTGCAGGACTTGGAAATACAGCTACAGTTCTCCTAATTCCATGTTTTGTCGACAGATTGGATGATGTCTATCTTAACAGTTGACTTACTCTTCTGCTTTAAACTCCTCTGTGGAATCTTGAGCTACTGAATTCTTCTTGATCTGCCAGAGAAAACTTTCCTCCCTCCCTCTCACCAGCCTCTTACCTTGTCTGTAGTTAGAGACAATGAGCAAAAATGCTTAAAAACTGTGAGTGTGGTTATCTAATAGGCAGCATTTAATAAGCTATTGATCTCTCTCATTCATGAGTTGTTATAAACCCTGGAATCCATTATACCTGAGTAGCCTGTTGAAGATGAAATATGCAACTACCCTCACAAACAAAATATTACTTGTTGGTTTTTGTCCATTCTATTAGTAAATGTCCATCTCAGCATGTGTTTGCAGCCTTCTGCATGTTAATGTGGAATGGAGTAGTGTGGAGATGACACTGTCTTCACAGTCAGACAGAGGCATCTCTGTAGGTGGAAGACTGAGGGTAAATGTGTGGAATGAGGAGGCAATCTTTCTACATACAGCAAAGAATGTCTCTGCCTTGTCACAGGGTGAACCAGGATGTCATTTAGAAAAACCTTTGTATCTTTATTTGATTGAAAAGATTTCTAGTTATGCAGATACCTCTGTAACATTCTCTGTGACACAGGTAAAGAATGAAACAAATCCTTGAGCGTTCCTCATTCAAAAGCTCCCTGAGATTTCATCTACTTTTATCCTCTATTTCTTAAAGAAATAGAGGGGGAAATTAAGCTTAATTGCAAGCTTTTCTTTTCTTTTCTTTTTTTTAACAATAAAGAACATGGACAGCCACAGGAATTTAATCAGAAGTGAAGTCTCACATTTTTGGTGGTGCTTCTCAGTGAGCTGACCACTGATATCACTCCTAATTCTAAATACATATTTTTTATTGTCCCATAAATGTACTCATTTTTCAGACCAAATGTTCCAATTTGGAAATAATATGTTCTCAGTTAATGTGGATCTTCCTTTGAATTACACAGGTGCTCAGTTCTGCTCTACTCTCCTTTTACTGTTAGTGGAATATCATATATAACTTATGACATTAGGAAAAAAATTACAATGTCTTTCATATCCTTTCCTAATGTTCATCTGGAGCCAATAGGCTGTGTACTCTCTTTCCTGTATGTTTTTGAAATTGTGTGAGGAAAAAGCCAAACAGGAAGTATTGGTTTCCTATTAGTGAAGATCTAAGTCAAATGATCTGGTTTCTCAGACTTAAATTATGGTTTCGATCTAATACAATAAAGACTTGCAGAGCATTTAAAGTCAACCAGCCTGTCAAATATATGGTGACAGAAGGAAATTTAACTTCGGATGGTGAACACACAATGCAATATATATTTGATGTATTATTGAATTGTACATTTGACACCTATATAATTTTATGAACCAATGTCACTTCGATAAATTCAATTTAAAAAAGTCAACCAGCCAAGAAAGAGTAGCCTCTTCCCTGATCACAATCTTCTCTCTGAAATCTGTTTTCACAAGATTCTTTTTTAAATTAGAGCATCTTTATCTTTTAGATCTCAAATTTCACATCTCAAGGTAGAATACTGCCTTCCCTCCTTTGAGTTACGAACTTTCAGATATGAGCTATTATATGTGAAAGTGTTTTGCATGCAATTGGCATTCAAAAATGCTTGTCGAATCTAAATCTGAAAGGAAAGTGGCACTTGCTCATCTCCTTGGATGGGTCCACCTCACTCCAAGAGTCCCCAGTAAAAACATGGAGAGTATTGAGCTCCTGGGCTCAATCAGCTCTCTGCCTCCAAGGTCTACCTGCTCAGTCTTTCGAAGTGCAAAGAATTCTGAGGCAGTAGGCAGTTATGATATTCATAAAATCCATTCTGAATTTTCTAATTGTACAAGGAATTGTAAAATTTAAACTAAAATTAAGCATATCTTTGTATTGTTGGTAACACAATGCGTTAAGTGTGGAGAGCGGACTCCTACGCAAATTAACAAACTGACCAGCAGCTCTAGAAACTACATTCTTCTCACTCTCACCTAGCAGCACTGTGCAGTGGAAAGGCTCAGGACCTGAGTCTGGAAGATGAAGGCAAAAGCAATATCTCTGGCACTTATTAATTGTACAACTCAAAATAAGTCATTTACTCACAGAACCTTAAT